ATATGGTCCGCTGCAATATTGGAATTTTGAATAACTTCAGGAATATTATCCCAGGCATCAGCATTTGCTCGTTTTCTCCCTCTTGATAAAGGTGGTTTTATTGATAGATCCTATATAAGAAGTGAATTAGGAACAACTTCCCCAAAAAGCTTATTAGTATTACCATTACGCATTATGATTATCACTCTAAAATAACAATTAAGAGACCACGTCCTGGTGAATATACTACCCCATGACTTGGCATCCAAGTACAATTTGTAGTATAGTGCAAATAACAATATGATTCATCCAAAAAAACTTCTGGTTTAGTCAGAACTTTGTTATTTCCTTGTAAATTTTCAAACCGATATTGTAAATAATGATTACGAAAAGTAACATTTGCTGGTGATTCATGCAATATATTTCAACACTCACCACGGCCATAATAATATTCTAATTTATGAAGTAAATGAAGTAACTGCCATTTTGATAATTTATAACCATTTTCTTCAAGCTTTTGTCATAATATTTGTGTTGAAAGTGAAATACTAGAGGTGTTTGCGGACATAATAAAACTTCGTAAAATTTTGGGAATATTATGGTCAAATGTATTTTTTGGCTGACCTAGGATTTTTTGTGTTTGAAATTCTCCATTGTTTTTTTATTTTATTCAGTAACTACCTGCGCAACTGTAGCCTCCCCAATACCAAGAACTGCAGCAACTTCTTTGCATAATGATAAGTCATGATGTTGCTTTTGGCATTATCAAACCTTTAAAAAATGTTGATAGACGTTAAAAACCATCTTTCGTTTATTATCAGTTAACGGACTTCTGTCTCTAATTAAATCATCCATGAGAAAAAAAAAAAGTTTGAAGTTAGTAAGCTATTTAAACTTCGAACACAATCTAACCTTTCACATCATTTGTACATTTAAATGACATAATTGTTAGATTTTAATATCAGATGAGAAAATTAGGTAATGATTTTCATGTATCAATCTTTTTGTACTGGACCATAATTTCTAATAACTTTTCACTTTTACTATTCTTTATTAAGAGTGTTTTTCTCATATTTTAGAATATTTTAATATTTTTTAAAGAACTTTATTATTATTTACATAATTTAACACTATACTTCTTTATTATTTCAATTTATCTATAAATTATGCTATTTTATTTTTTATACTATACTCCTTTATTATTTAATTTATCTGTAATTTATGCTATTTTATTTTTTGCTTTAACTGTATTATATTGAATATTATTTCAAATACTTATTTTACATAAGATATGATTAAAAATAACTTAAAGACAATGGTAATATATTTTTTAAAAAAAAGTTGTTTTATGCATCAAGGTTAAAGTTTAAGGTTAGAATTTAAGATTAAGTTTAGGGTTAGATTAAGAAATTTAAGTTATAAAAAATTTTTTTGAAGAAGGATTTGAAATTATCAAACTAAGAGAAAAAGACATAACAACTGCTATATTAAAAATGATATAAATCAAATGGTAAAGAAAATTTAGATTCATCAATACTATTATTATAAAATCTAAAAAAAAGTGGTAAAAAATGTCTATTAAGTACTTAAAAATTTAAATCAGTTTGTAAAATTTTTAAATTTAATATAAAAGGTTAATAATAATATAGAAAATATAAAAAAAATAAGATATTATAAAAAATTACAAAATACAATCAGATAGTAATTAGTTATTTTTATACATTATTTATATACAGTCTATTCTTAATATAGTAAATTTTAATATAATAAATCATATGATGTTTGACTAATTAAATATGTTAATTTTTCTTCTTTATAATGAAATAACTAATCAAATCCTTCAAATTTTTCACTAATTTGCTATAATGAAGTTAAGATGTAGAATAATTACTTCACTATATTAAGGATAGACTATATTAGTAAAATATATTATATTATATTATATTACTTATATAATCAAAAAAATTACTATTTTATTTGATTTATTGTATTAAATACTATAGTAATAAAAATAATTATATATTTAAATAATATAATAATAATATGAGAGATATACAATAGTGATAAAAAATAAAATTCATAAAATATCAAATTAAAAAGTTATTAAACTATTTATTTGATAATTAAATATATTAAAAAATAAATTATAAAAATCTAATAAAGTAAAAATTATTTAAAAAAAAGTATTTTAATGATAATATATTTACTTAAAAGTTATCAAATATTTAATAATTATATAAGAAAATTATTATAAAATTGAAAATTTTAATAAACATAAATTTTAAAATAAGTTTTTATAAATATATAAAAATAAAAATAAAATAAATTTTTAATTTTCTAATTTTTATATTTTCTAATTATTATTAGAATTAACTTTAAAGAAAAGATTTTTAATTATCTTTTTGATAAATAAAATTATATTATACTAAAATAGTTCTTTTAAATTTAATTTTTAGTTAATGTATCTAAATAAATGATTTGATTTCTATTTAATATTTATATTTCTGTAAACAAAATATTTTAATCATTCTTTATTATTTATTAATATGAATATGAATATTTTCTTTTTTTTAAGATAGCAAAGTAAAAATAAAGTAATTTCTATCCTATTATTCTTCATTATCAAATTTTTCAATACTTAGTTTTCTAATAACATTTAACTTCATATATTTTTTAAATACTTTCAAATTTTCTTTTTCTATTTCTAAATTTATATCTTTGTTATTATAATCCACAAGAATGATAATAGAAAGTAAATTTTGTGATACTCGATTTTTCCAACCAATAAAAAATAATTCTAAATCTTTTGAAAGTAAATTTAAATATTTGATACCATAAAATTTTAATTCATAAAAATTCTTTGGTGAATATTTTATAATAACTTCTAACATTTCATTTTTATCCAAAAAATGTTCTTTATCACTACACCAAAATTTCATGCTTTCTAATTGTTTACAACTTTTAAAGATTAACTTCAAGCCTTTTAAATCATCCTTTTCGAATATAATAAAGAGTTTTTTAAGATTTGGACAAAATTTTGCAATAATAAATTTCAAAAAATTATCCTCTTCTATTACACTAAATTCTTCAAGATTTTTTCCATTATTTTCTAAAAAGTTTATTAAAAATACTTTATGTGGATGTCCATAACAAAATTTTAAGATCTTTAATTGTGGAAAGGTAACATATTGTAATTCTTTAAAATCTCCAATTGAATCTACTTTACCACCATCTGAAGAACATCTAATAACAAGTTCTTTTAAATTGTTGAATGAGGCCATAAATGACATAGGTAAATAACCCTCTCCACATAAATTGAATTTAGTTAAAGTATAAGTGTGTTTTATTAATGAAGGTATGATAGCTGTCCAATCCAAATCTACTAAATTATTTTTTAATTTCAAATATTTCAAATTTTGCTGAGCAGATAAAAATACTATTAATCCATTAGTAATCTCACTTTCAAGTTCTATATCCAAGAATTGTATATTGTGACAAATTCGTGATAGTTGATAAAAAAACTCTGAGCAAATATTTGAATTACACTTGAATACCCTGAGATCCTTTAAACAATTCTTTGCTCCAGGTAGATAAGAAAATATAACTTTAGGAACATCAGAAATTTTTATATTTTCTAATGGAGTATAAATCAATTCTTTTAAAGAAGGAATTTGATTCATAAACATTTTAAATAATTCTAAAGTTATTAAATATTCATTGTAACTTGATATATTCGAAGTAATGAATGAATTTATGGAAAATGTATGGATTATCATATCAACTTCATGAATTGAGAGAACTTGGCAAAATTCCACATAATTGAACATTGGTGAATTCTGATCGGGAGTTTGAATAAAGATTCCGTTATTATGTAGAAAGTTTTTTGATTTATCAGGAAGACAGGAAACCAAAGTTTTGAGGATTGATAATTCCAAATCAAATTGCTTTAAATTAGACAAGGTGTATTTATAGCTCCAAATATTCCTCCATAAAATTCTAACCGAAATTTTACACCATACACTATTAACTAATAAGCATGAATGTAAAGTAGCTTTATCTTCCTCTAAATATTCAATAACTTCGTATAAGCAGTCAAAGATAAGATGGTTGGACATTTTATATATACAGTATATATATGTATGTATTAGGAAAAACGGTATCATTAAGAATGTAAAGGCAATTTTTGAGATTTTAACGACGTGAATCTGGTGACATATAAGAGTGATGTGACAATTATGATTTTCACAAAAAGTATGTCACAGCTTGTCAAGGGTTTAGAAGTACTAATAGTAAATTATATATTATTATTATATACAGATAATAAATATAAACTATTTTGGATTTCTTTATAGTTTAAAACGTCAAGGATCGTAAATTTTTAAAACTGATGAAGATTATTGAGATAGGTATAGAATTTTTGGTCTTTTCGTTACAATCAAGTCTTTCTTTTTTAACAAGTAATAAATTCCGATAATTGACTATACAGATGAGGAATTTATTGTAACTTTGCTTATTTGCGATATAATTTCCGATATTTTCAAAGAACGGTTATTCTCTAGACGAAGCATCCGATACTTTGATATAAACGGTGATTACTACTTTGTTGTTTAAGGTATGAGCTTGAGTTTACTTTGTCATGTTCTAGTTGTGATAAAATGATTATGGAAAGTTTTAAAGCGACAAATGGATATTAATTCCACATGGTGACTAGTTCGTTTCATATAAGAAAAGTCAATTTGAGGAATTTGGAGAAATGTTAGTAACATTTATAATTCTTATATGTCTATAATTATCGTTATAATTATTTGACATTAATTATTAATTCTTTTAGATAAACAAACGATATAATAATCAACACAAGGCTTTATTGGTATAAAAATTGTAAACAGAATAGAAGTTAGTTATAAGGACGTAAACGTTTAGTTTCTTTGATGGAAGCAAAGATCTGAAGAATAAAACGCACTCGGGTATTATCAATTAGATGATCTCAATTAATTCAATTAATTTGATTTATTAAACAATGGCTAAAACAGAACGAATATGCTGAACGAATGTGGGCTAGCAATAATTGCAAATTCCCATACTGTATATTCCTGATATTAATATCACCACTTATTTCAATAGAATTTTTAATTGCAAGAAGAAGTTTTTATATTGGATTTTTGCGATCGAAGGAAGGAGAACGCTGTGAAAATATAATAATTAAGAATCTGAACATATCTCTGCCTGAATAATACATATCCTTAACGAAGCTATAGCAAACTTAACGTACTACAAAGCGCATCTAAATAGGTTTAATTTTCAACAGAAACTGCAATTAAATTTTGGACATTTAACGTTTATCAAATTTCCAACAAAACAATATTCTTCCGTCTACAATGCCGCAGTGAACAATCTTATTGTTAATTATGAAAACAAATCAGGGAATATAAAAAAGAGATTATCCTAATAATTTTATTATGTCGAATAATAATCAAGTTCCCCAACCCCAATCAAGCTCAAAGAAATAATAAACAAAATTCTGTCCTTCTAGTTTTTAGCTATTATCGCAGATAGTGAAAAGATAATGTTCAAGGTGTATCTCATGGAGGGTGATGGTACGAAACCGGTGATAATTCCCTCACCTGTCATTATTCAAAGCTTATCCTGCAACTAGAACAAGGGCTTGTGCTACTCAAGAAAAACCTTATGGGCGTATTGAAGAAACTGAAATTAAGAAGGCTAAAATCGTTGTTGTAAAAGAAAAAGATGAAACGTGGAAGTTAATCTATCAATTAATAAAACAACAAAAAGGGCTACAGCATTATATTTGTAATGCATATATTAACCTTGAAAAAATTCCACTTATAATAATAGATTCCGGTTCTGCTGGTTGCATAATTACATTAGAGTTACTTAAAGTTCTAGAAATAAAAATTACACAAGCAACTATGGTTAAAATTAGAGAAGATCTTTAGGACCGTTTCTATAAAAATTGCTGGTATATAATGCCTTTGATGTCATGGTAATGAAGGCTTAATTATATGCAGATATTGTTAGGAAGAAATTGGTTAAAGAAATGCAGGAAATTATAAATTATAGAAAAAGTCATATACAGTATCTCTATATTGGAATAATATCTAGATACAATTGTTTTGGTTTTATATCATTAACTTGAAATAGTTTTCAGCAATAAAAGCAGATTACCATATTGTTTTTTATGGATTTTAAGTCATTCATAACTAGTATAATAATTAACATTAAACTTATCTAGGTTAAATCCTATAAATAAATAGAAATGATGGTATATACTATATTCATTTTGTGATAACAAATATTGGAGAGTAGATTTGACTTGTAATTCTTACTGCACTGAAGACTCTCTCTTTTTCATTATTAATAATCTGTTATAGAATTTTTCATTATCAAGTAATTTTTTAAAATCAATAATATTGCAATAATTTTCAGAGTGGTTATTAATAAGCTTAGATAATTACTATTGTTTTTTATCAATAATCATTTTAATATTTCAAGTATTATTCAAAATAACCTTTAATATATTTAGCAAATAATAATTAATAAATTATAGTGATTTTTATTAAATTAAAGTGAATTCTAACAGTTTTTTAACAATTTTTAACAATTTTTTATCAACTTATACTAGAAAATATTATAATTCAAATTTATATAGAATTATAAAAATTTTATATTATAAGAAATTAATAAAACCTTTCTGATTTCTTACTAGTTTTATAACAGTTTCAGGTACTGTGATAATTCAAATTCTATTTCACTTCTTTTTGAGATTCTTTTTACCTTTCTCTCATAATGCTAATTTATTATTAGTAACTATTTAGTATTTAGCCTTATAGAATAATTTTGCTCTAGAAATGATAATATTCAACAATTCACAAAATATCACATATTTTATAAAATTATGTGATAAATGCAAATAACTTGTGCAATTATCATAAAATTATACAAAATATTTTTATATTCTATAAAAATTTTATATTATGATTTTATTTTAAATTTTAATCTCTTTCTTAAAATATGTATTTTAAACTTTTTTTACTTGTAAAAGATAATATTTAATCTTATATTAAGATTGAAAATTTTTTAAATATCTTTTAAAAAGCATAAAATAATAATAGTTTATACATAAGTTGAAGAAAATTCTAATATTTTTATATTAATAATAACTTTTTATTTTATAATTATTATGATCTTTTTATAAAATAAAAATATAAATCAATTGTAGATACTTATTATATTAAAAAAAATCTAATATAAAAAAAAAAATTATAAAAATAACTAAAAAAAAAAATTAATAAACTTTAGAAATAACTTTACCTACAACTATTTCTAAAAAAAAAATAATAATAAATTTAATTTAAGTATTACAAGTATAAATATTATATTAAAAAAATTAATTTTTTACTTTTCTTTTTAAACAAAAAAACTTAAAAAGTAAGGATAATTTCTTAAGTATCAACTTTATATTAAATTATTTACCTAATATTTTTAACAAATATATTAATATTTTAAAATTAATTTTTAATTTTAAATCTATTTATATTATTATAAATAAGAGTAATAATAATTATAAATGAAGTATAATTAATATACTTTTTATATATTATTTATATATATAATTAGTTTTAGTTATTCTTAGAACAAATAAGTAATATAATAATTATAAATACTTTTCCTATATTACATTTTTTATAATATATATTTTGAATCTTTCATATTTATTTTTTTCTAATTTTATAATATATATAAAAAAGTATTATTATGATATTTTAAAACTATTTATATTACAATTGATATATATATCATATTCTATATATATAATAAGACTTATTAAATAAGTTAAAATAAATTATTATTTATTATAATTATGTATTATAAAGTATTAATATACTAATTATATTTAAAATAATAAAACTTAGTAAGATTTTTTATTATTTTCATTTTTAAAAACTTTTTGATTAAAATTAAAAATATATAATTTATTTACATATGAATAAAAATTGTGTTACTATATAAAATTTATTACCTAATAAACTCAATAGAATAGCTAGTATAAAATGATATTTTATACTAAAAAATATCTTCAATTTTGATTAGATTTTATGAAAGTGAATATAAAAGTGATCTAAAATATAAAAATATAAGTGAAATTATTCAATTTTACAAAATATAGTATAATTTAAAATTATTACAATTTATATTAATTTTATACTAAAGTATTTATTTAAAACTTAGATTTTTTTATCAATTGAAAAATCATATTTTTCTATTTATTGAAACATAGTTTAAAAATCTTATAGTTTATTTTAAATCAATTTATTTTGATATAGCACTTAATAAAATTATAATATATAATTTATTTAATTCATAAGATTTTATCCTACTTATTAAGCTACTTTTCAAGCTTGCATATAATAAATTAAAATTATATATTTTAAATCATCCTATATGTCCTTTATTTTGTATAACTCACTTTTTTAATCTTAAATGTATTCATATGAGAAATAATCAATAATATATATATCAATATACAATTATTAATAAATTTTATAATTTTTTAAATGATTTTATATGTAAATAAGATATTTATTATAAGTTAAAATATAATAAAAATTTAAATAAAATTGATTTAGAAATTTATTAGAATAATATAGCAATTTGTTTATCAATTATTTCTTAAATAGTATTTAATTATATTTAATTAATTATATCTAATTATATTATTAAGTATAGTTTTTTTATATAATATCTAATTATATAGTAACCATTAAAACTTATCTAAAAATTACTTAAATAATTATTTTAATTAAAATAATTGATTTTATAAATTTTTTTATTTTTATATTCTACCTATATATAAATACTAGTTTATTTTTTAATATCTTTTTACTAATTAAATTGCATATTTTATTAAAAATTTAAATGCATTAAAAATACCAGTTCTATAAAAAAATTATTTATTAAAAAAATAAACAAGATCATAATAAATATCATAATAAATATTATAATATAAAAAAACTAAAAAAATAAAATTAAAAAAAATAAAATGATATTAAAAAATAAAATAAAAAATAAATTAATTAAAAATTAAAAATAAATTAAAAAGATAGAGGAGAAAAAAAATAAAAAAATGATTTTTGAACAGTATTTTCTTTTTCTTCTCTATTTAATTTGTGACTATTTTTATTACTTTTTTAATAGCTTTTTTTAATTATAATATATTAATCTTTACTGATTTTATAATTATCATCTCTTAATTAATTATTTCAAATTTCTTTTGATAAGATTTTTAACTTTTCAGCTCTTTTTTAAAATTAACAATTTTATGTATTATTTGTGTCTTTTTGATTAATTTTAATAAATAATCTTTTATTACCATGATTAAAGTTAAGGCTTACACAAATATTATATATAATAATAAAGTTGATTCTTTTATATAGAATTACTTGCATTTAATAGTATTATAATTAAATTCTCATAATTTTCACAAATATTTCTTTATATATTAAAACTGTATAATCATAATTTCTATTTAACAGTTTATTAAAGATATTTTCAAAGAATTATTTATTTCTAACTTATTCAAATTTCTATAAACTAACAGATTAATAGAAAGATTTAATAGAAATATTATATAAAATCTTAGCAAAATTATTTGAAAATAAAGTTTATTTTAATAAATTTTATAACTTAACAATAATTATAAGTTTAATATTTTAACTAAATAATTATTTCTTAAAGTGCAGATATAAATTGATTATAAAATATTATAGAAAAATTAAAATATTTTAATATCTAATGATTATAAAGGATGAAATAAAGTTTATTAGATTTATCATATTAAGATGTAACTAATAATAGTATTTTTAAATTTTTTAAAATTAATAATTATTAATATATATTTAATTTTTTAATTTTTAATTTTTAAAATTACTTATTATTTAATAATTATAAAAAAATAACTCTTTCTGATGATCACTTGACCAAGAATTTTTACGTAAAAATATGTACGTTTAAGATATTTATAGCTTAGCCTGTAAATAAAAAATAAAACTTCTTTTTCAAACTTCTTTCTCTTGTTGTTTTTTCAAACCCTCTTATTTCAAAAAAAAACAGTTTTTATTAGTTTAAATGACAGTGTTTTTTTATTAAAATATTTTTTTTCACTACTTCTTATAACTGTTTTTTCTCTTTTCTTTTTGCTTACAAAAGTAAGTATTAGGAGATATCCTAAATGATAATCAAGATCAATAATAACTTTGGATTAACCAATTGCATGTAATGATTTTTCCAAATTGACAAATATTTTAGCATAAAAGTTTGAGAGATTTTTTTATTAGCTTTTTTATTTAACAATAGTTCAAGTTACTTGTTTTTGTATTACTGTAAATTTAAATTTAGGATAGGAATTATTGTTAGGCAAAAGAGAAGAGTGTAGTAATAATTTAATTATTATATATTAATAAAGACTCTATTAATAATTATCTTCAAAATATAGTAGGATGATTAGCTAGTATAGGGCTAGTAAGTTTTTAACTTATAAAGATTAAGGTTGCTGGGCAAAACTCGGAGGTTTCGACAGGCATTGAAATCGAAACCCATCAAAACGTTTTGCCAAATTTTTTTCTTAAAGGCAAAACTGCGAAAGTTTCGATGGGTGGCAAAAGTTTC